TTTTTATTTTTATTTTTTGAGACAAGGTCTTGCTAAATTGCAGAGGCTTGCTATCCTCCTTACCGAACCAAGGAAGTTGCTGGAATTATAGGCATGCGCTACCATACCTGGCACAAGGGTAGTATAGAATGAAAACATAGAACAGGTAGATGGTGAGTCCCAGTGGTGGCTCCAAGACCCACTGGAGTGAATGAGGTCTATACTTCATGGGCCTTAATTTCTGTCTTCTAGAGAAGCCCCCAGAGACATGGGGAAGCTGCTCCTCAAATGTGTGTAAAGGGTGAGACTGTGGTAGACACAGAGCTGCAGCCCTCAGTTCTTCAAGAAATGACTGCTGCCCTGTCTCAGGGAGTGTGGTGAGTGACAGTCTAGGCATCGAGGTGGTTGTTCGAGGTTGGCATCAGCACTGGAGCTGGGGTTGTATTCTTGCAGGGTGGCTCCAGCCAGTGCCTGGGCATGACAATGGTATGTGTAAGGCCTGGCTGTTTCTCTTAACCAGGGACATCTCTAGCAGGAAACTTTGGATATCTGTGTTCCAGAAATGGAGTGAGCAGAAGCTTTGCCACCTCCGCCTTGTGGTCTCACAACTCCCTGCTCCCAACCATCTTCCTCCCCTATTCTGTCTGCCCCTGCTCCTTGGAGAACTCTACCAGCACAGTCTGCAAGGCATACTGCCCCTGATCTCTGAGGACACCTGTCTTGACAGCAGGTGACTCATACCTGTTTGTGATTGGCCAGGTGAACCCACTAAATACCTAGTTCAGCCTGCAGGCCCCTGGGTAGGAGAGAGTTAAACAGGAGAAACCCAGGCACCGGCAGCCAGTTGATGTTTGTGAGTTTGTGATTCTCAGGCACAACTTCAGGACTCTGCAGTGGGGACCCTGCAGTGTGCACTCTCCCTGGGCCCAGCTCTTTCCTCACCAGATCTTCCTCCACTTTCCCCAGGGCTTAATGAAGAAGAGAGACTTCTAGATTAAGTTTCAAGGACTTCGAGGGATCACGGAGCCCAGCACCAACAAATGGAGCTACATTCAGGAGAGCAGATGGAGCTCAGGGGAGATGACAGCAGTTTCATACACTGCTGGGGAAGAAGCGGCCTCCCTGGTTCTGGAGGGGGCTTCAGTTGCTGAAACTGCTACAGAGGGAATGGGGAGGGGCCATTTTATCATAGACCTTTGTGGCCACAGAGAGGGGATTCAGGGGAGGGGAGAGAGCAAGAAATAAAACAGCCTCCCCAGCAAAGCACAGAGTCACAATTTCCCAATGAAAGGAACTAGGGTCGCTATGAATAACCTGCACTCCAGCTGTCCATTGTATTGTTTTGACATTTATTCGATTGGGGGAATCAGGTGAAACTGCCATATTTGTAGGCTAAAAAACCCTGATCATCTTGGTTTTCTGTTGCTATTACAGAATACTGGAGACTGGGAAACTTATAAAGGAAAGAAGTTTACTTATTAGGTTCATGGTTCTGGAGGTTGGGAAGTCCAAGATTGGGGAGCACAACTGGAGAGGGCCTTGTACAGCTTTATAATGTAGCAGAAGTGGGACGGGAAGAGAAGGCACATGCAGAGAGAAAAGAGGGACTGAACTCCTACCATAGCCACCTTATTCCCATGAGAAAGGTGTTAACCCTTGAATGAGGGCTCCACTCCTGTGACCAGACACCTCCCAATAGGCCTTACCCCCCCTAAACTGCTACAATGAGAACTTTAGGTTTCAACACATGAACTTTTAGGGTACACACTCAAACAATTGCCCTAAACATAAAGTTGAATTTAAGTTAGGGATACACACACACACACACACACACACACACACACACACACATTCCCCCCCCACACACACAACTTATGTTCTCTATTTCTTGAGGTCCCTTAGCTACAGTTCCTGGAGCACCCCCTGCAGGCCAGCCACCAAACTGAAAATTTACTGAGCACCATTTAATTCTATTCTCCCAGCATCACAGTGTATGTACCATCATCATCATCTCTATTTTACAAATGAGGAAAGAGAGGCCTAGGGACACACAGCTAATGAGTGACAGAGGCGGGATGTCAACTTAAATTTGTTTGACTCCTGAATCCCTGTTCCTGATCCTTGCACACACTGCTCTCCTAAAGTGTTCTGCGTGGCATTCAGTGGGGTTGGAATAGGGATGGGAACTGGATGCTTGAGTTAGAGAACCATTCAGCAAGCTCTGAACTGAGGGGCCCCGGTGTGACTTAAAGGTCAGACATAGGTTTTGTGGGATTGTAGGACCCTCATCAGAAAAAGTAAATACCTAAGAAGTATTTTTGCACATTTTGCAATATATATCTTCATCTGAACATTTTGCCAAGGCCTCTCCTTCACCTAGAAGGGGTATGTGCAGGTGAGGGGTTCTGAGGCTTAATCTTCTTTATCAAAGTTCTGACGCCCAAAGGATCCAAGTTCTAATGGGGTGTGTGTGTGTGTGTGTGTGGGTGGGTGGGTGTGTGTGTGCGCGCGCACATGCGCAAAACCTTACCTCCTTGTCCATATGCTGGGCCGAGGCCACCACAGCTTCCTCTTGTAGCCATCGAGGGAGGCACTGTCCTGGAACTGTCCACAGAGAAGGCTCACCCTCCGAGTCCCCTTCAGTGACACTAGGGCCACTCCCTGTGGTGTTCCTCCTGGGCAGCTCTGGTCTGAGGAGAGAGGGTTGATGGCTGGTGAGGCTTCATCTGCATCCTGTGGCTTCCCCTTTCAAAGAGGAACTCACAGGAAAAGGAGGACACAGTATCAGGAGGATGTAATTCTACTGGTATTAAAGAGCAAACTTTTGTTCCCTTGGGAGCCACTGGTCCTAAAGAATCTTCAGAAGTGAAAACTAGCTATATGTTAAAACTAGAAACATATACAATCTAATTCAAGCTTAAAATCTTCAACTCAGATTTAAGACTAGAGAATTAAACTACTTGTAGGTTCTCCTGGGCTCTGTGCTGTAAGTTTGGAGGGGGAAGCCACCCGCTCTTGGAAAGCCATAGCCCACAGTCTCCCTTGTCACAGGTGTGAGCTCCTGGAATCCAGGTCTGGTCTTTGTCCATCTGATACCCTGTGGCCTATCACACTGAGGTTCTCACTTAGCGTTTCTAGAATGATTGAATAAATGATTAAGAAGGGTCCGAAAATTGGGGAGAAAGAAATGATGGGACAGAGAAGGAGAGACAGAGACTGACTATAGTTTATTTAACAGAACTTCTAGTGTCTATTCCTCACAAGACTTTGGAACTCATGAAGAGAGGCCAGTATTGAGGTGAATAAATTGGTGCTCCTGGTTTCAGTAAATGACACTCTTGTGAAAAAGAAAGATGTGCAATTATCTGTAATATTGGGTAATGCACAAGGGCCTTCCTGGAGCAGGCCCAGCTTCCCAGTGCCCATGCATCCCTCTGAGGAGAAACACTGCTGCAGGGTCTCCTATCCTCTAACTGGCCCTGGAAAAGATATTGAGACCCCTGCTTGACTCTTGTTCCTTTGCAGGTAACATGTTTTTGTGTTAATTTATTTCTCTAGAATCTTTAACCATTTCTGTGTCCTCAGCATGTTGAATTTGGGTTATAATGAAGCAGATAT